CCGAAGCGGAGTACCGAGCCCTGGCCACTGAAGCTTCAGAAATTATTTGGCTCCGACGTCTCCTCGAGGACTTCCACATTCCACAATCTACACCTACAACCATCTATTGCGACAATACATCCGCAATTGCCCTTGCCAACAACCCGGTATCCCACGCCCGAATAAAACATATTGACGTGGATTGTCACTTTATCAGAGATTATATCAATGATCAAATTGCGGACGTGTTCACCAAACCACTACCAATTAACAATTTTAATTCTTATGCACCAAACTCATTACAGCTCCGCAGTCATAAGTTTGAGGGGGCATGTAGGAATTCTAGACTTGTACCTTCTTGCCTACGTGGCATACACGTCACTTAGACGTTATTGTACCTTCTTGCTTCAATATTCTATATATTTTACTCTGTATCAAGGAAATGAAATAAGAAAACAATAGTCCATTTCTCTGCTTTTGTAATCTTCTTTCTCTGTTCGCTTCCGGTCTTCCTGCTCTTAACAGGGTCATCCCTAATGGTTGTCAAGTGGACATTTTTAATGCTATAACTTCCATCACTATACTTAGAAATGGAAATGCTTTCTGTTTGGTCTGGGTTGATGGTAAAAAAATCAAAAATTGTTTTGGTTCTTTTGTGAAAGATTTCTATAAAAATGATAATGAGGTGGCATGATATAAATATATTTGGCATAAGCACTATGCAATCTGATACTCTATTTTTGGGTAGATTTGCCTTGTTGGGGACTTTAAGATGGTGAATAATCTCATTAGAAGGAATATTATGGTTGCCCTAGAATGTTGTTTTGGCTTGGATCATTTTGAAAGTGTTTAACATCTCTTTTTTGAATGTGATTTCACTCACTGTATCGTAACGGAACTGCTGCCTTGCCTTAACACTTTTCTTATGCGCCCAAATCTCTTCCATATTTTGGAATTCCTTGCGGTTAATAACTCTTTGAATTCAGAAATGCTCTATTTTAATTTGATTATGCTTTGGGGCATAGTTTATTCTATCTGAAGGGAGTGAAATGATAGAAAATTTTCAAATTGTTTCAAGAGTCTTGTCGCCTTGAAAATTTATATCAAAAAGGCCATTGTTATTAAGGTGCTCAAGTGAAAAAATGGGGAGGTTTTCCGTCAGCATTTGTAGCTTTCTTTTTGATATTTGGTTTCTGATTGGCTTTGATCTTGTTAGATCACATGGTTTCCTTCTATTCTGTCGCTTGCTGGATTCTTTTTGTGCTGAGGTTGTGGGGGTCGATGATGGGCGGATTGCTATCCTCTCCCCCTAGATGGTGATTTTTGCAACTAATCTCTTAAATGGTAACTTTTGCAGCCGAGGGATTTCATCGATTTCTTGGAGGCAATCTTCCAATGCTGAGTTATATATCCTCTGTTCTTCCTCAATTGGTTTTGGTTTACATGTGTTTTTTTGCACTATTTGGTGGTCTCTCTCTTGCTGCTATTGTAGCTTTTCCACAGTTTTATACTCTCTTTTTTTCTTTTTACACATGTAACTATTTCTTTTATCATGAAATTGGGCTAAGCCCATAATTCAAAAAAAAAAAACTTTATTTATATTTATTCACTTTATTGAATGAGTTTAAAGATGAGTTAGAAATCTAGATATTAAAACGGCTATAAACATTTGAAAGAAGCACTACATGTACTACAAATGAATAGTCCATCTCATTCAAAGCTCTCCATAACAAATTAGTTGAATACAAAGATTTCCTTAAACAAAATCCATGAGAGAACAACATTCCTCAATCATATCTAATGACTCACAAATGAATGAGTTCAATCAAATAATGGTTGGATGGATTCAAAAACATCAAAATTAATATACCATATGCAATAAAATCATGTGTCTCTAGCTAACCAACACATAACTAAAAACCCCAACTTAGTGTGTCAATTCTATAAAAATAAGTTTCATACTACACATGAATGTCACGCTGTAAAATGTTTAATGAGGAGATATACACACCTTTTGAAGCTAATGATGGCACCAACAATATTTTTTCCTCACAATCTTCTTCACTCCTCAACAATGACGCCTCCCATCATTTTACATCAGATATGAATAAACCCTATATTTACAAATCACAAAAAGTCCTAATGATATTATAATTATTATATATGTGCTTAAATCATCCCAGCTTATCCTCTTAATTAACCTATTCAAAATCACAAACCAATTGTAATCCATGCATCATTCTAACTTCCAATCCTTGCCTAACAACACCACAAACTATTCAATGCTTAGCTATCATACCTTCCATCTATCTTCACAGCTCCTAAAACTAATACCAGTCTTATGGTCCTGCAACCCATGCTCTTTTTAGCTTCCATGAAAAATCACATTCCTTCCTTATATATTCTTGTTATTATCTCCAACACAGCTGTATTATGTACCAATAACTCTTAACTTAATTAATCATCGCTCAATTCCACCTTTGCTACTATATGATAGCCTTTGCCACTATCAAAATTTGCTAGTTGGTCAATCTTCTATTCGAGTTACACATCACCCTACCCATATTTTGGGATATCTGATGTTGACATATTTGAGCGGCCTAGGACTATGACTGCTCATACTTTCTAATAATTAACCAATTATAATTGAACATAATTATTCACTAAAAAAGTATCTCAACTAGACACCTAAAAAATCAAAAGTATAAGAGCTCCTACTACTTTTCTAATCTACATTCATATTTAATGCAATTTAAAAAAAAAAGGAAAAAAAGCACATGCTACTTACCTAATCCACAATCATATTTATTACAATTAAAAAAGAAAGTAATTAATGTCACAACTAAAGTTTTTTTTTTTTTTTTTTTTTTTTTTTTTTTTTTTTTTTTTAGACATTTAGGTCAATTAGGATAAACTCATACACATATTATATGAATCTTAAACCTCTTGATTGATAGCAAGGTTTTCATAGAAAAGGCAACAAAGACCTTTCACAAAAAAATTGCTAGTAGGAACTTAGAAAGCTTTCAATGGATTTTTAATAAATATGTTAAATTAAATCTAAATAGCTTATATCAACGGGTATAGAGATGGAGGACAAAGACTGTGAAAAGACCATTCATAATTTAGGGAAATCCTAAGTAAAACTAATTGTTTCAAAAATCAATTATGTTCCATAGACTTCTAACAAGCCTTTGACAACTCTCCCCTATCTCAACAATGGGAGGCTTTATATAAAAAATAATGAATTTAGGGATATAAAAAATATAGGCATTTTAAATACAAATATATATAATTAATATGATAAAATTTTATTATAAAGCATTATGAAAGATTACAATTATTCTTTATATGATATGTAGATTATCTATTTAAATATAAAGCATATTGCCCTCACATTAAATAGTTATGATTTAATAATCTCCAAATTAACAATAGAATATATAATATGAAGTTGAAGTTTAATTTTAACTTGTTATTGTCACGAAATTTTACATGAATTTTTTTTTTTTAATAAAGTGAGTTGAATCCATCTTGATATGTTTATTAGTCCATCATAGTTCATAGTAATGTAATACTAGACATAAATATTATTGAGCTTGACAAACTTGTGAGCTCAAGGGAACAACAACCAACTCAACTTGCAAAGCCTTCTCAGCTATAGCATTCTCAAAGGTAGCATTAACTTAAAAAATTCTATTTGTAAATGACTAGAAATACTTAGCTAGAGATCTCTTATTATACTCATAAGCATCCAAGAAAGCATTCAACCTACTCATGTTGTCTCGCTTATCAACACTAATTTCTCAGAATCCACTTCCTATAAGCCAAATAATGTTGATAGTAAATGATTTATTTAGAGATGGATTTTTCATCTCTATATTCTCCCTTTCCGACCTGACATTTTAATTCACTAACATAGCCAGAGATGTTGATATTAACTTGATATCTTCCATCAAAGTAATATTGGTAGCCTCACAGACTTGTTATGCCTCAAGTTAGTACCTATTTTCTTTTACAATTCTACAAAGGGGGAAGAATTCTCCTTAACTAACTCAATGTCATTCCTGATCTACCCCCACCATCTTCTTAAATTGATATAACATGGTTGTGATCCTATGCTTCTTTGTATGCCTTGAAATATGTGCTCAACATGAAGTAAGTGTGCTATCATTGGATGGCCTTCTTTTTCTTTATGGCATGATGAAGAATCTCCCAAGGAATTTTCTCCATCTAATCCCAAATCGACCCTCAACCTCAAACTTCATTGTATTGTTCATAGAGCCTGAGTTTGACCCTGCTCCAATGCTATAAATGGGAAGTAATGGTTATATGAACTCCCAATCAATTAAAAGCGATTTCCCAAGCCAAATGTTCTATCAAAACTTTGATATGTCATCATTAATGCACTATTTAGAACTACTATTCAATTTTTTTATTTAAGACATCATTGATGGACAATGCCATAGACCACCAATTTGGACTACCATCAACCGCTCGAGTTCACGGCAATTGGCATGGTCAGCCCAAAGATAGTATCATCTAACCATAATTTGATCTCCATTATCAATTGAAGATAAATAATATTGCATTCAAGATAGAGATACCACTAGTGAAGTCTCGCCTCTACTCGATAAGACCATCAAATGAAGTTTAAAAAACTAATGTCAATATTTTTTTTATACAGAAAAAACTTCCTTAGACTTGATGTAGTTGGAACAATTATATAAATATTAATAAAATATTTTTTCCAAATTGTAACAAACATCTTTTTCTACTTATGGCTAAGCAAATTTTTTAGAATAATTAACGACATTAATGATATAAATTGTGCAAGGTTAAACATTTTGAAAAGCTCAAATCAATAACCATTAATAAATATTCAAACCATAAATTATTAGGACTTCATTCATTTCATTTCCCTGATATTTCTTCAATCGAAGAATATTGTAATTTAAGGAAATACACTTCATATGTTGTTGGGTTAAAAATAATTTCCAGCACAAGTAATTGACGCATATTCATCTAAGATATGCATGCACATAAAGGCCTTTATCTATGTGTAGAGTTATCATTGTTTTATAATGGACATCGCTGCTCTTGGAGCTAAGTTTAAACTTGAAAAGATGGAGGAGAACAGCTGCGAATATCTTCATCTGAGTATATGCGAAGTCCTTTCCTAAGCATATACGAGGTCCAGCCTGCATTACGATGACGATAAAGAGCAATAAGACAAGGATTGAACTAACAGTTTGAATGGTAAGCGTCCAATACAAATTAAAAGTTGAATTAAGCTTCAACGAACACAATGTTAAACTAATATAAAGTACATTTTGTTAAATAAAAGATGTAAAACATTAGATTTCCTACTTTATTTAAAACATTTCAAAAAAAGAACTTAAATTGATCAACATTTGACAGCAAGTTAATTTTTTTACTTTTTACCTGGAATGCTGTAAACTTAAAAGGACTTTCATTTCGAACTGATCCATCATCATCCAGCCATCTCTCTGGTTGAAAATTTTCAGCATCATCTCCCCATAATATTTCCATTCTACCCATGGGATAAGGCATGTAGAACACAACGTCTCCTCGATTAACATTAAACTCATCAGGTAAAGTGTCATCAGAGAAGCAGGTCTTTGAATTCTACATAACATGTAATTTATAAATTTTAGAATAGTGCATAAAATTTAAAGATTTCTTGACATATTTATAGCGAATTACTATGATCATTAAGAAGCTTACCAATGGTACTGATGGGTACAACCTGAGGGTTTCGGATAATGCAGCATGAAGGTACTTCATTTTATCAAGAGACTCTACAGTTATTTTCTCAACGAATTCATTGATACAAATATCTTGTCCTGCTCGGATAGCTTCTTTCACTTCTTGATAAATTTCTTCTTGCACGTAGGGATGCTTACACAACAAATATATGAACCAAGACAGTGTTCCAGCTGTGGTGTCTTTGCCAGCTATAACAAAGTTGAGGGCGATATCTCTCAAATATTCATAAGTTATATTTTCTGGATCATGCTCCATTTCAGCCATAAATCGTGAGATGATGTCTTCTTTCTTTTCCTACGTGATAAAACAAAAGATCAAAATCAAATAAGTACTAGAAAAAGAAAATGCAGTAAGAAAATATAACTTTTGATGGTAAATTAGACTTTGAGCTAGGTCCAATAATATGCACATTAAGATTTGTTTTATATAAAAAATATAAATGAAAATTTTACCAAATTGTTTTTGGCATTAGTCATATTCTCTTTTTTTGCACGAATCAAGTCGTATATGAAGTCATTAATAACGTTGATGTCCTTCTTGAGTTGCGCCTCATAGCCAATGTTGAAAAACCTTTTAAATTTCCAGAAAACATCAACATACCGGCTTGTAATGTAAACACTTGCGTTATCGAAAGCTTTTGTAAATTTAATCCCATCAACAGACCCATCCAAGTTCATTAGGTCAAAACCAAACCCAATTTTGAAGATTGAGTCCATTGTTGAACTCATAAACAGTTCCTGCATTATCATTAAAATAATTTTATCTTACCAATTGAAAATCAAAAAAGAAGTTTTTGAATGATGATTATTTCTAAATAAAAAACACATAGTATAATTCTAAAAATTGATTAACCTGAATATCGAAGGGCAAATCAGATTTTGCTTTATCAAAAATGATATCGGCAAGTTTTATTGCATTTGTTTTAAAAATACTGGTACTATAGTTCCTCAGAGCACTTGTTGAGAACTCGTAGCCCGCCAATTTCCTCTGATGATGCCATTTTTCACCATCCACTGCGAAGATCCCATCTCCAAATAATTCCTTCAAATTTTCATAGTTGTATTGTCCCTGAAATTTGACAAAATATAGTATTTAAGAAGGGAAAGTTGTGGAGAAACAAAACAAAATTTATACGTGGCATTTGTTATGAACAAATCTCACATGCTTGACATATGCTTTAAATGAACGAATTGAGGCAAGTGGCATCTTATTCAATATTATTTATTTTTTTTATAAAATTTATACATCAGGTGAGTGTGAAAATCATTTTCAAATTATGTTTTTATATTTTCATCGGGTATATAAGTGGTGGTTTAATTATAATAAGCATAATTTGTTAAGATGGAAGGAAGTAAACTACACAACAAAACAAATAAGAAAGTCAAAGAATGTAATTTCTTAAAAATCAAATAATAATTTTCTTACAATTTGCCATAAAAATTTTCTAAGAATTAAACAAATTATAACCCAGCGGAATTAAACTTAAAAAATTTATCTCATACAGAAACCTAGAAAGTCAAAAGTATAAGAGTTCGTGTAACCTAGGCTTTGTTTGGGACGATTTTTTTGTTGTTTCTTAACAGGGGCGGATCCAGCTTCTTTTTTTAGGGTGGACAAAAAAAAATTTCTGGGGGGACGGTCAAAGACTCTTAAGATTAACAAAATTAGGGCAAAAAAATTTTTTGAGAGACAAAATTCCCAAAATATTTCAAAATATTCCCTTAATACATGGGGGATCCGCCCATGCTTCTTAAAGCAACTTTTTAGTACAACAATTAAAAATTTTATACTAAAAAATATTTGTAAGAAGCAGCAATAAAAAGCCGTCCCAAACGAAGCCTTAATCTACAATCATATTTAATGCAATTTAAAAAAAGGTACAAGAGCACATGCTACTTGCCCAATCCACCATCATATTTAATGCAATTTAGAGGGAAAAAAAAGTAAGGAATGTAAGTGAAGTTTTTTTTTATATGTATATTTAGGTTAATTAAAATAAATTTATAAACACGTAACTTATACAAAATGTCGAACTTAAAATCCCTTAATTTATAGTCAAAACTCTCAACCAATAAATCAAGATGAACTGTCATAACTTAAGTACGTTTCATGTATATATATATATACTATTTTTTTAAGACTTTTGAGTCAATTAATTAGAAAATTCATACACACATCACATATGCAACTCAAACCTGAGATCATTTGGTTTAGCAGCCAAAACATCCAACCAAGATATTAAGGTTTCGTTTGGGATAGCTTTTTTAATGTTTTTTAAAATAGATTTCTAGTACAAAATTTTTGTACTAAAAAACTGTTTTAGAAAGCAGCAAAAAAACTATCCCAAACGAAGCCTAGGTTGAGTTGAGTACTAAATTAAAATTCAAAAGTAATAATGAAATCATATGATATGCATTCTAAAAAAAACATAAAATGTTATTCCAATAAAAAGACATTTGATATATAAATATAAGATAAGCAGATAAACAAATAGAACATAAGACTTTTTCTTTCGACAAAAAATTGTTTTAAAAATCAACAAGAAAGTTGTTTCAAACGAAGCCTAAGTTGAGTTGTTTACTAAATTAAAATTCAAAATTAACAATGAAATCATATGATATGCATTCTAAAAAAAAAACTTAAAATATTTTTCCAAAAAAAAGACATATTTGATATATAAATATAAGATAAGCAGATAAACAAATAGAACATAAAACTTTTTCTTCCAGCAAAAAACCTTGTTTCCGATTGCTTTTTATTCTACTCTAGCTTACAAAAGTTTTGCAAGGGGAAGACTCATTCCCATCGATGCAAACTAAGCTCTTCTAACTCTTAAATCATAAAAACTGAAGAAACCTATGAGTTTATCAGTAAATCACCTTGCCGTAGTTTTTGAAGTTGGTTTTTAATATATAGTCCACGATTGCAGGGTCTGTGGTGTAGATCAGATTATGAAAAGGAGCATACAATCTGAAAGTTTTGTATTTGCGAGAGATATCTATGAAGTAATCCTGCAACCTTCTAAAGTTTAGAAACAGATGGAGTATAGTTCCAGCTATCGGATGGTATCTCTTCTTTGCTTTCCTCCACAAAAATCCATGTCTTCCAAAGATTTTGATGGCAACCAAAACCAGCATAAGTATTATTACTGGTTGGAGGTATTTAGCCATGAAAGCTAGAGAATTCTCCATCTCTTGAGTTTGCTGATTTGGAATTGAAAAGAAAGAGAAGTTGTGCTGCTTGATTTATAAGGCAAAATGAAACATGATTAATTAAGTCAAGCTAATGAGACAAAACAAGAGGAGAGAAAACTGAAAAGTGTCGTCAGGCACCTCAGAGTTTCTTATCAGCAAAGCCCATATCATTATGGATTATTTAATTTCAGTTCGACAACAAAAATCTTTTCACGAAAGTAGAGAAGATTCTAAATAGGGCCAAAAACAAATTAATATTATCATCTGATGACTAAATTGATAAGTAACAGTTCATTATTATTATTATTATTTTTTAAACGGTTCATTATTTATAAAAATCTATATATAAAAAAAAACAAGATTTTAACTTTTAATATTTAGGCTTAGTTTGGGACAGTTTTATTACTATTTTCTATAACAGGTTTTTAGGTCAAAATTTTTTTAGAAGCATAAAAAAATGTTGCCAAAGCTGTCCCATCTTAAATTTAACGTAAATATGTGATTCAATTAAAATACACATGAGAAATATTTTTTTTTATTCACTAAAGGAAAACCTTGTATTCCGGCAAAACTATATCCACTAGTAAAAGCGGCGATATAACTGGCCAGCAATTCAGCGGCGGGTGGATAAATTGCCAGAAAGTTTCAAGCGAAAAAATTGCAAGCAAAGCCGTCATTTTTTGCAAAATCGGCGGTAATTTCCATCAAAAAATGCGCCTAAAATTACCAGCGGATTTTTCGCTAGCTTATTTAAATCCGAGCAAAATATTTCTAATGGAAGTAACATCATAAACCATTCTTGCGGACAATCTGACGGTATTATCGTCGAAAAAGATCCTATTTTCCTTACTCGGTCGTCTTCCTTTTCATTTCACTCATGCTCAAGTTAATCGCCTCATGTCAAATGTCGCCTTCATATACACTGCTCCTTTGCCGATGTTTGCTGCCCCTGTCGCCAAAAATCTGTCATAAGTTGATCTGTGTTAGCACATTTATTTTTGCTTTGGTCGTGGATGTTCTCAATAGACATTTGCAAGAGATTGTACCATGTTTTATTCACTTATTTGCTGACATTCTTCTCGTTGATTAGACTAGAGAGGGAGTTCATGGTGAAATAGATGCAGATACTATTAGTAGAATTCAAGTTGAATGGTTAAAATGGAGGAATGTGTTGGGTTTATTGTGTGATAGTAAATTCCCCTCAAACTTAGGGGAAAATTATATAAGATGTATGGCTTTACTCGAGATGCAGCAATGGGCATATTGTGTGTTGGAAAATTCTCCTCAAACTTAGTTGAGGAATGTGTTGGGCACATGAGTGTCTTTACTCTTAGAGACAAGATACGAAATGAGCATATACGTGAAAAGGTTGAAGAAGCTCCTATAGAAGATAAGTTTAGAGAGAGTGAGAGAGTCGCCTTAGATGGTTTGGTCACATAAAACGATGGCCTCCCGATGATCTAGTTAGGAAAGTAAAGGTATTAGATTTAGTTTATGTTAAGAAAGATAGAGATATAAAAAGACTTGGATTCTTGTGACACGAGAAGAGTGCTTCAAAACTGCCAGAATATGAGTGCTTCAAAAACGATGAATATTTCTACACAATTTTGTTAGAATTCCATCGGTAAATTCGCTGGAAATATCTTCGGCATGAACTGCATTTTCACACAAGTACCCTTCTAAACACCTATATACGCCGTTCTTAGCATGGTATGATTGAAGACTACGGTCGCGATGTCACCCGACACCGACCGTGTATGTCTTTCTTGACATGGCGGGCAGGCTAAAACTCCTTAAATAGGAGATATATCAGGAGGCTGTCAAATTTTTCATTAATAGGGGACCTGAGTAAAATAGCACCATCCGATTTACAAATCATTTTGAATTCAATTTATTTTCCTTCAACATATGTTATTCCAATCTTTAATATCTTCATATTATATATAGGCTAAATTCTTCATATTATGAATATTAGAAATCAAAGAGTTAGATGTATAACTGATTGCCACAATGACGAAAGTCATTAATATATGAGTTTACTAATGGGATGAATTTTTTCATCCAGACAACCTGTCAACTGTCTAGCTTCATCTCAGATGAAAAATTTTGATGTCCATATTCTAAACATAAAAATTAAGAGCACTTAAAATCAGATGATGTAATTGTTGATCTATATCGCAGAGGGTTCAAACCAAAATATTGGTATTGGAATTCTTATGGTGAGTACGAGCCACTTTTTGATTATCAATGCGGCCCGTCTATAAGTTCAAAAATAGCTGAGGAAGAAGATATCTGACATCTTGAGGATTAAGTGTATAATACAACTGGGTATAATTTGAACAATATACAAAGGAGTCATCAAATATGGATGCACATAATTTTTATGAATTGGTATATGCTGCCCAATAACCAATATGGAAGGGGTAAGCCACTAACTCAGAGTTATCTATTGATATGAAGATGTTAAGCATCAAGGCGGAATATAATGGCCCCCGTGAATATTTTAATCAATTCATTGGGCTGCTTAAGAAAACTACCAACCCGGTAGATAACATAATTCCTACAAATTTTTATCAAACTAAAAACTTGGTTTGATATATAAAAAAATAGATTGTTGTGTCAATGAATGCATGTTATACTATAAAGATGATTTATTAGATATTCAAGATTGTTATTGTAATGCACCATGATTTAAACCAAAGTCTGGGACAAAAAAAAAAAAGCTAAAGGATGTTGCAGTCAGTAGGATATTTTACTTACCCATAATTCTTAAAATATAACAGTTATATGCATCCATGAGATCTGGTGCATATATGAGATGGAATAATGAACACATCTCGTAAAGTGTTATTACACATCCGTTAGAAGCTGGGGCCTAGAAATACTTTGATCATACACATCATACCTTTATCATTGAATCAATAAATATAATATTAGGTTTATGTGCAGATGGTTTTACTCTATTTAGCCTATCTGTTTCACCTTACTCATGCTGAATCGTAATACTCACCCTTTATAATCTTCCTCCAGAGTTATGTATGACTACTCTTTATATGTTTCTAATGCTGATCATTTTAAGGCCACATAATCCAAAAGTAAAGATTAAAGTATTTTTGCAACCAATAATCAAGGATTTAAATTTATTATGGGAAAGAAGAGTAAGTATATATGATATCTCTACCAAACAAAACTTCATAATAAAGGCAGCATTATTTTGGATAATTAGTGACTTTCTTGCATACGATATGCTTTCAGGTTGGAATACTTTCGACAAGTTAGCTTGTTCATATTGTATGCAATTTAGAAAGTCATTCACTTTAAAGCATGGAGGGGAGAATACTTGGTTCGACTGTCACCGTACGTTCTTACCTACAGGTCATTCTTTCGGGAAAAACAAGGCTGCCTTCACTAAATATAAAATAATGATGTTGCAGCCTCCTAGATTAACCACTAAAGAAATATTTGAAAGAATAAGGTTCATACCCATGATATTTGGTTCTCCAACATTAGCTGATTATAAATTGCTGAGATATGGTGTCAACCATAATTGGATCAAAAAAGAATTTTTGGTCCTTGCCATATTATAGAACAAATCTGATCTGATATAACTTGGATGTGATGTATATAAAAAAATATTTTTTGATGAAGTATTCAATACAGTCATTAACATCATAGATAAATTCAAAGATAATATAACAACAAGGATGGACTTAAAGGAGATTTGTAGGAGAAAAGTTTGTTGGATCTCAAACCTTAGACTCTTGGACCAAGGTTCTTCTATAATAGTGAATACTCTATCACTGCCAATTTGAGATCTTTAGTCTTCTTATCAATTCTCTCTGCTCTACACTCTTTATTCTTGCTCATACGTTCTAGCTCAACAGGTTGACCAATTAGTAAGATCTGATATCATCCACAGACAAATTCAATTCCAACATAATTATCTCATACATTATACATTATACAATGGGTTCTTTTCAAAGTACTTTAGAAAATTCAAGTTCAATTCAATTCGGTAACATTAATTTAATAAAATTGAAATAGAATCCATACTGAATTGCATTAAATTACGCTCGATGGGGCTAACGAGCATCAATCAAGCTTAATTGAACATTGTTGGGTCCAATTTGACTTAACTTGAGTCAACTTGAACTCAAATTGGGTTTGACGATCTCAATTAAGTCAACTGAGCACGTTTGAGGGAAAAAGAGCAAAAATGAGGTCAATAAGAACCAGTTGTTTCCCTCATACCTCAAAGATCTCTAGTAAGATCAAAATCTATATATTCCTCTAGTTCAATCCTTGCACATCCATAGCAAAGTGATTTGTCAATTGATCCCCTCAAGTATCAGAGAATCCACTTAACCACCTCTTAGTGAAGTTTGTCTTGTTTACTCATGGATCTGCTAACTATTCCCATTTCATATATTATAACTGGTCTCATACATAATGTAGCATACATCAAACTTTCAACTGATGATGTATGTAGAGTCTTCTTAATATGTTCTTGCACTGCTGTAAATTTAGGTGATTGTTCCTTAGGTATTTGAAAATGGCTACTTAAGGGAGTGTAAAGTGATTTTTCCTAACTCATGTGCTCTACAACATCATTATGTTATGGTTTTCATGAAACAATAAATTCATGTATAATCCCATTACAAGCACATTACTCTCTGAACTTTTTGTCATGATGCTCACCACCATTATTTCATCTAAGATATTTCAGCTTTAAAATGTCTCACTCTCAACCATAACCTTATATTTCTTTTAAACATCAAACACATCTGACTTGTGTTTTAAAAAATATATTTATACATTTCTATTATGATCAATAATAAAAGTCAAAAATTATAAATCAAAGCAATGAAAAAAAAATTAATATATGGGTCTAGTTGCTTGAAAAGAAAAACCCTTATGTGATTTTCTTAATTTAACTTAATTTAAACATTATAAAACATGTGTTATGCATGATTTTGGAGTTCATTTGATGAGTTATTCAATAAAATACTTAACTAAAAATGAATTTCACCCCCCCCCCCTCTCTCTCTCTCTCTCTCTCTCACATGCTTATCTAACTCATTTGCTAAATGATTCAAAACACCAACAAGAGCAACTTTTTTATAATATATAGTGGTTTTTATCTTGTTCAAGAATAGCTCATTTACTCATTTAATGAGCTGGACTTGTGCTGTATAGAGTTATATTGAGTTGTTCGTGAATACTTAATTTTTATGATTTTCCAAGCAGTAAAAATTGAGATAACCTAGTGTAATGACAACATTATAGCTATTGATCTTCCAAATGAAAGCATAGAGGAAGAACTTAGCCTTGACCTACTATTGATACAATATGTCATTACATCCTTGTATTCTATTCTTGATACTACAATAAAGAAGTGAAAGTAATCAAAGTCATTTCAAACTTTGCCATAAGTATTTACAATACCACATACTTGTTATCTTAGGAGCACTCATTGACTACTCATTCAGTACCTCCCAAAAGAGCTAGAATTCTCCTACACATCCTTAAGGTGTCCTTGATCATCTGTAGCATTAAAAAAACCAAGCTGCAACCCAAAGTAGCTAATATTATATCAAATCAACGAACAAATTTTATGCTTTCATTGTCATTTTTATCAACAGTAAAAATTGGTTATGGATATTCCAAGCAAAACTTAATTAGGAAGTTTTTTAAAATTCTAAGATCTATTTAAAGATGTGTGAACTCCGAAAATTTGGCCCCAACCTCCCCATTTGCTTTCTGGGGGAGTTTTAATTAGGGGTAATTAATTATAAGGGCCGGTGCCTATAGGAGTATAAGCTTAGCTATTGGAAGCATATAGTAGAAGCATAAGCTTAGCTATTGGAAGTTGAATCATAAAGTCCTCACCTATAGGCACGAGCCCTTATAATTAATTACCCCTCTCGATTACTAGAGAAAACTTTTGATTAAGGATAGTCGTCAATCAGATATGTAAAAATACACAATATCTTGCATATAGTAGAAGCATAAGCTTAGCTATTGGAAGTTGGATATTTAAAATTGAGAATTTCATTATCTTGCACTTAAAGTGGTTGGTGGATGGATGATGAACCCAATCAAGATCACATGATTTTGTCATCTCGAACCATCGTGGTCATTGGTCTACTTAGTTAAAGGAGGTAGTCGACTCAACCTGACATAAAGATCTTTGTCAGCAACCATGGGTTACATCGTCCAAGGTTACCTTATAGATCTGGGATTGATGTTTATCTAATAAAACAAATTTAAATACACCTTAGCCGACATAGGGCTTTATGCCCTATCGATTATATCATATTGATTTAATGCTAAACAATTTAACGCCATTAGGGAGCATACCAGTGCTGGCCATGACCATAATATAATGGTGCCATTTTACGGTGAACCACCTAGTTCAGAGGGTCCTGATTACAACCGTTTATCTACGGTGCAATTTGGAGGCAAAATCTTAGGTGTGGTGTCATTGACAACGAAATCACCAGTTAGAGGACATGTGTGACGTCTTTACTGGCAATAGACATATTAAGATTGGATCTTAATGATATTCTCTACTAGATATTAACTCTTTGTGAGCTAAAGTTATTTTCGAATTTGTCCACATCGACAAACTATTGTGGAGGGTTGATAAGTATTTGCTTTAAGTATGTAATGATTTAATTTAAATTTTAAATATCTTATACTTTAAGATTTTCAAAATTTTAGATTTCTATTGGCATTTAGGGGTATTTTGAATGATTGTGATCCCCCTCAGTTGAGATTTTCTATCAACACGGTCATCATTGCAGTAACTTTGGGGTTGTTTGAAAAAAATTATATTTTATGTGAAGTTTGAGGGCATTTAAAAATATTTGATCCCCTCCAATTGATATTTATATTCAACACGGTCATCATCGGGGTGTTTGAGGTCATTTCCATTTGTGGATTGAGCCTTGTCAACTTTATTGAGCTGCCAACAAAGAATTGGGTTTCATAAGCTTTATATTATTGTTTGATGAAATTCATTTGTCATAGACCTTGAAGGTCATATATGAACGTATAAAATAAATATTTTGATCGACGCCTTGACCGTATATCTATTTGATAATTTGAGTCAGGTCGTCTCTTATCTATCCATATAGAAGGATAGAGCACAAACTGTGATTTATTTATTGGCCCACGCAGCATCCCTAGACATAATGCATATATCTAAAACATGTTCGACGGGTCCCATGGGGGTATTTCGGGCATTTTATAATTATTTGATGAACCTTATCAACTCTTATTTACCTGCTTAAGAGGATCGGGTTCAAATTTACTAATCTGTGCAGCATCCCTAGACGTCGCGTGTGGTCCTACAACACGCTTATCAGGACTCATGCGAATCGTGTGATTACACATGCCCTTCTGTGTACTTATTTGCATACATATTATAGTGCATGTGCGGCGGCATTTTCATTAATATGTGATGCTGCTTAGTTGTGTGGGAAACCCTCGTTTGAATGCAACGATCTATTTGGCAACTCGTATACGCCTTTTGTCTGCTTGTATACAGGTTGTAGATCCGGTAGTGTGGCGTCGTACTCCAGTGGCCTGTGGTCTTTCATTATTGATTCCCCGCTTTTATTTACAAGTAAATCGTGGCACTGTCACCTTATTGCCACGAGATACATCTTTGTTCTGATGTAGACTCACTTTTTTCATTCATCAGATCTTTTTAGGGCTCGTATAGGAATCAATTAGCAACTCTTTAATTATGTCATCATCATTTTCTATTATTGGCTTAAATAAAGAATTAATCATTTCAACCTTAGATGATTAAATTCTTACCGATGCCCTATACTTTGAAACCAGTGGCTACTGCCTTGAAAATAATCTTTTTCAGGATCTACAGTATTGTGAATTTCTAAAAGATGTAGCCTCCATAGTTAAGTAGTTGGCCTCTGAGATAAGTTGAGGTATCTGGGGAGCTCTTGTTGTTCCTGACTTTTTTAATAATAACAACCTTATCGTCATGAATATATTGAAGGGATTTACATTTTCTTAAAGGAACTTTGGAATACCATGAAGTTTAGTTCGAATATGCTCAAACATCTTTTCTATTTTTACAGGAAGAGGGGTGACCTCCTCATACAAGGGTTCTCTTCGCGGAGTCAGTCTATGCTTGTATTTATCATATACTTATGTATACTTTTGTGTTTACAGGGGTCTTCCACAATGTACCTACTGTTGTTATCCACAAATGGATTGTATTTATTTACAAGGATCGATCGTATTCAATATAATATCCTGAAAGTGTTCGTATAAGAGCCATTGTTCCTACATCATATCCACCTTTCACTAATCTCAGGTGGTCGTTGATTATACTTGTTTGCAGAGATGAATCTTCCACCATCAATTATAATTGTTGTCATCTCAATCTATATGCAAACTATTGTTTGTATTAGAGATTTCATTTATGCATGTGGGAGACATTTATGCATGTGGGAGACATTCATGCATTCAATAGTTAATTGTTGCTTGCATCAAGGTCTTCATTAATGTATATGGGAGATACTCGTGAATTTTGTAGTTGATTGTTAATGCTTGCAAGTATAGTGCATTTGACCTTGTAGATACTATTGCAGGAGTTTGCTACATCTATCATGTATCAACTAGCATTATTCATTGTGTGCTCATGCATTCAGACATTGATGGTCCAATATTTGCTTTGTAATTGTTGTGATTTAATTAACATTCATTGTATGTATGCATTGAAGTCTTGCTCGTCACGAGTCCCATATTTGTTCAGTTCAAAATCAATTCTCTACACAGTTAATCAAGTGTTGGGCATTTCTGTTCAAGTATAGGTCCTCTATATTACTGCTTAAGTGATGTCTTCTTATTATTCAGGTTTTGTATACTTCAGTATGAATTTCGACAATATCCTGGCATATCCCTCGTTTGAGGGAAATGTTGGGAATTGAATCTGTCCCACTATGATACAAGAGCGTGTATGATAGGTGTCCTTAAACACCAATGTCGTAGTCTTCAATCCCACCACGCTACAAGAGCATATGAGGTTTTGAAGTACCATCTGTCTATTCAATCAGAATTTGGTTTTCTACGCTTCATTTAAATTTTTCTGTGCATTTAATATATATATATATATATATATATATATATATATATATATATAATATATATATATATATATATATATATATATGCTTAAGTGTAGGTTTTTCGTTTGTTGTAAATTTTGGCAACATCCATTTGGGAGAAGTGTGAGGAGTTGTGTCTATCCCACCACGCTACAAAGAGCGTGTATGATAGATGTCCTTAGACATTATGACCGTAGTCTTTAATCCCACCACGCTATAAGAGCATGTATGGGGTCTCCAAAGCACCTGTTAAAAATGCAGTTTTTTTTTTCTCCGCAAATCATAAGGTGTTTTACGGGTATTTAAGGTGTTCCCACCACGCTACAAGAACGTGTAGAGGGCCACCCATCTCTTCGCATGTGTCACATCGAATTCCCCCCACCGTGCTACAAGAGCTCATATAAGGGGTCCATCGACGCGTCACACGCGTCGAGGACAAAATTTGAAACTTCATACCTTGCGTAGCAGTGTCGGTGACAGTGTTGGGGCAAGGACGGTAGTGTCTACAGTGTCGGCTCGTGGGTCGAGGCAAGAGATCTATTTTTTCTTTATTTTATTAATTAATAATAATTAATTTTTCTAATTAACTATTACTAATTATATTTTTTATTAATTACTGTTAATTCTAATTAATTATAATTAATCTTCATTAATTATAATTACTTATTATTAATTATAATTAATTATGATTAATTATAATTGAAAATAATTATTATAATTAATCTTTAATTAATTATAATAAAAAAATATTTATAATTAGTTTTAATTATTAAAAAATAAGTAATTATAATTTAGATTAATTAGGATTAATTATATTTAATAATGATTAATTATAATTAAAAATAAGTAATTCTAATTATTACTAATTTAAGATTTATAATAATTAATTATAATTAAAAAATTTAATTATAATTAATCATAATTAATAAAAAGAAAAGATATGAGCATGATTTACATGATAAGACAGCATTAATGCAGGAATTAAGCAGGACTTTAGATAAATCTTGTTAACAGGATTACTTAACCTCAAAGCAAAATAAATCCTTAGCTTTCCGCTTTCAGCCGCAGTAGTCATCTAGGGATTGCCGAAGAAAAGCGCCAAGGGAAGAGAGACGGCTACCTAGGTCATCTCCAACCGAACGCTAAATGTGTGTATGGAGTTTCGCCATTTCATTGCAGGTGAACAGTGCGACACCAACGTCATTTTTTGCTCTCAACCGGAAACGTGCGAAAGGGAGAGCGATCGTTACCTTCTCAAAAACATCTAAAATGGCGTTAGATTGGAGCATCACCACGCCATTTTGGAGTTTTGCGTTACTTTGCCGTGAAAAATGAAGTTTTCGGTTGGAGATGCCCTAACCAGCTCCCGTCGTCGTGGTGGCTTCCGATCGGACTAGAGGGAAGTTTAAGGAGGTGAAGGCGTCAGCCTCTCCCTCTCTCTCTCTCTCTCATCTGGATTGCGGCTATGGATGTGGTCGTTGGGGGTTTGGAGTTGCGAAGTAGAGAGGAAGAAGAAGATGAGGGCACAGTTGAGGAAATTTTGCGCGTGAGGAGCAGAGCCGAGAGCATTCACTTCTTCGGTATATTTAACGATGAGCGAGGCGGGATGAGGCATTGAAAGCGAACGTGGGATTGGCGGCGTTGATGTGCGAGGATGACGATCGGATGTCCGGGTTGCTAGATTTACGGGATTTGAGCGGGGATCGGCCTCGATCAGGTACTTAATTCGATTGTTTTTCTGTTTATCTACAGTATACAGGTCAACAAGATGAATGAAATATATGAATAATCAAGCACTCATTGCAATACAAATCTATTTTTTTTTTTTTAATCATGATCAAATTTTGATTTGGATATTCTCGCATAAATCTTTTTTTTTAATTATTTCAAGCTATTTTTACAAATTCTTATTTTCATTCTTTCATACGATTTTTTTGGAACATCTAGTTTTTTATACAAAAGAAATTTGTCTACTTAAATTTTACTTTAAAAAATGATAAGAAATTTGTCTCAAATGAAGCCCCAAGGCTCGAAGCATTAAACATATTATATGCAAATCTTTTCAACAACTTTTATTAATGTCATCTTAAATCTACTCATTTTCAGCCCTTATTCTTCTGCACTAATTTTATCCAATATTTAATAGGTATATTATTTATACTTGTTAGAACCAAGTAACTCTATTTTATTCATTATCTTATATTTAATATATGCTATTCATACTATCCAAATACTTAAAACTCCACTTATAGGAAAGTTGTGTCATATGGATTTACTCTTATGAAGTTAAGAAAAATAAAATGTCAATACTCTTATAAAGATTGATGGTTATAGCATAACCAAGTGAGGGGTTGGGGATGAGAAAATTTGGTGTTTGATTTTTTTTTTTTTTACTATAGCGCAATTCATAAATTAGTGGATGAGCTGAGTAAGAGTAAATAATCAAAATAAAGGAACATACTACCTTTTAATGTATTTCAATACTAACCGACCTATATAAGTGCCTGACTACATACTACATAAGATTCCACTGGAACTTCTCTCCTTCGCTTGATGAGCCAATGCATAAACTATCATAACACACGCTCAGACATGAGCTAAGACAACCCAATACAAATGAAAAAAAAAAGGCCACATACTAAGTCTTCTAAGGCTTCGTTCAATCAACACAAGCAATAGTAAGACACCACAAAAAGTAAAAACAATATAGAAATAATAGTTCTTACAAATAAGGTTTTTCAATTGATATCTTATGAAGAACTCATTTTATGACTTGGATGTTACAGAAAAGTCAACAAAGACCTTTCATAGAAAAGGCAACAAGGACCTTTCACAAAATAATAGTTCTTCCCAGTTAATACTTCTTCCCAATTGATGGGCAACCTTTCTTAGAAAAGGCAACAAAGACCTTTCACAAAATATTTGCAAGAGGAACTTAGAATGCTTTCGATGGATTTTTAATAATTGTGATAATTTAGATCTAAACAATGTTAACCTCTGTATAATATCCAAAAGAAACAAAAAAAAAATTACATTCCTCGTATTCGTCGAGAAGCCGCCCAAATCTCCGCAAATCCCGCAAGATATCCCACTTTGTCACTGTTCATCCAGCACTGTTCCAGGATTTCTGCTTAAATCATGCGACAGCTCCTCGATCGAAGTGTAAACAAAGGCATTCGGGTCTTCTTCCTCTTCTTTCCCGTAAAAACCCCATTCGCTACTCCAAAATACCTCAACCGAGCTCCAAATCCTTCGCCTCTTACCCGATTCCGCCCCATCTCCACTTTCGTCATCTCCAAACTTCTGAGCTGAAGCTACCAATCCGGTCGCAAATCACATTTCCCTTCTTGTCCGATCGAAAGTAGCGACGGAACTCGCTGTTTAGGTAACTTTCTCCCTCCCGCAGGCTTCTTGGGCCAAATCCAGTCGCTCCCTCTGCCCTAGCCTTGCCCGATCCGTACGGTCCAGAGAGAGAGAGAGAGAGAGAGAGAGATAGGCCAGTCGCCCCTACCTGTAGCTGCCGAAGGCCTTCTCCCATTGTCGAACTGCCCTTACCGATCCCTTCTGCTCTGAAAAAAAAAAAAGAGAGTATTTTCCTTTTGTGCATTTGCACCGCCGTCGTCGCCACCCTTACGCGAAGGTATAACATTTCTAACCCAAAAATCCTTCTCTCATGGCTTGCGACAAGCCGGCAAACCTCCTACGCGCTCACGTAGCATAGTAGGGAGGGAAATCGACATTACGCTTACGACGAGGTGGGTAATCCCCGGACCATTCATGTAATGTGAGGGGGACAAAACTAAGTACCCATACGTGGGAAAATCCTTGTGCTCTTTTCAATAGGTGCCTGAAGACCCTTAAATGCTCATGTAGCGGGCGGAGATTGAAGAATTTGTGGCCGCAGTGTCATTTGACACCTACCTGAAGCGCTCAACTAGCGACGAGTGGAAGGCTAGTCTCTCGGATTTTCCCCTAAACGGGGGAGACCAAGAGGCTGCCGGATTTTTGTCTGAAATGCACAAGACTTGGACATTACTTGGACGTTATTTGGATATTAATTTGGACAATAAAATGAACGAAATTTTAATCCAAATAAATGAGCAAAATACTTAAATCAATTTTAACCAAGAAAAATCTTGAATGGTCGCCAAGACTTGACAATACTTGAACAACAAGAAGCTTGAACTTTAAAGACAGCAGGGAACTTGAACATGCTCACAATTTGAATAAATAGAAAACTTATGGACTCTAGTTCAAATGAGTACAAAGAGCATGATCTTGGAGACTTGGACATTTGAACTCAAGCAAAACTTGCTAATCGGATAACAGAGGACCTACTCGAACAGAACTTGAATGAACCTGAATAGAACAAAGGATGCACTTGAACTCATGTTTGGATTAAGATGATACAAAATCAAAATTGCACTTAAAATGATATTACGATTTATAAAATAATAAGATCCAAATTAAATGCAAAAGAAAATATATGGAATCTGTGGATAATAAGAGACTTGCAAACTCTACTTACAAGTAGTGATGAATTATAGACACTTAATCAATTTCTATGTCATGATATGTTGTTCTAAAAAAAAAATACATCATTTACTTGCAAGCAATGAATGGTGGAATTCTCAAAGCATGCAAGTTTTAATCAATAGGTTGGATTATGAAAACAAAGATCAATGAAGGGATGGAAAGCCCATGCCAGCTTTGGCATGCATGATTTGTTGTTTCACAAGCAATAACCAACATGAATGTGATAAATGAAGGAGAGCTAAAATATGCAAGTTTCATATACATGAGCTGATATATCATACTACAACAAGCATGATTACAACCCATTTGCAACCAAAGGCAAATGACATACAGGAAATACGACCTATTTGCAAGCAAATACATTTGACGCATACAAGTGTAAGGATTTGGTATTCAAATGAACAAGCAAGGATTCATATATCTAGCTTAGGAGCAATGACCAGAGGATTCATGTATGAATAAGGAAGGATGCTACAAATAACCTTGGATACCACTTGCTACAAAATGGGGTCTCTAATGAATGATATAATTTATTCATGAGGGAGGTAGAGGGATTTAACTTTTCTACAAGAAACATAGTAAACACATTAGCCCACATATGAGTGATGACGATGGCTAAGATGTGAAAGAAATAAGTAGTGCATGACAGTCTACCTGTACAAAGCAGCAAACAACTCAATCCCCGCACATGCACTGTAATATGTATGCACATAGGTAGACATAAGGAGATGTATAAAAGACCCACATGGGCCTCAGCGAGCATGTTACTGGTACACACGTGACGTCTAGGGATCCTGCGCGGGCTAAATGATGAATCTAAGTTCGAACCTGCTCCTTCTCAACACGGTTTGAACCATTAAATAAATATACGATCGACTATACATTCATATTAGGCCTTCAAGACCCTTTATAAGAAAGATTCATTGATAAAATTATTCACCTGCATGGGCCCCGACGAGCGTGTTATTGTTACACATGTGACGTCTAGGGATACTGCGCGTATTAATAAATGAATGTAGTACGAGCTCGATCCTTCTATATAGGTAAATAAGAGTTGACACGGCTCAAATTATAAACAGATATATGGTCGGGGTGTCGACCATATTATTTGTTTTATGCATTCATATAAGGCCTTCAACAAAGAAAATTCATCAACAAAAGCATTGAGCCTATGACGAACCCGATCCTCTATTGACAGAGTTAACAAGGTTCAATCCACAAATGAAAATGACCTCAAATATCCCGATGATGGCCACGTTGAATGTTTATCTCAATCGGAGGGGTTCACGAACACTTTCAAATGTCATCTCAAATGTCCCAGAAAATTTTAAATTTAAATATTTAAAATTTATATTCAATCATCAAACTACTTAAAGTAAAATCCATCCACCATCCGCAACAGTTTGTCGAGGTGGATAATTTGAATATAACTTAAGCTCATATAGAGCTAAATGCCTATTCGAAAATATCACTATGATCCATTGTCAAACATTCTTCTGCCAATAAGGACGTGGTACGTGTCCTTTGACTGACGGTTTTGCTGTCAAATGGCACCACAATATAAACGGTTGTGACCCGGGGCCCTCTGAACTGAGTGGTTTTACCGCCAAATGGCACCACGAAATACCGGTTATGGCCAGAGCCAATATGTTTCTTAGTAGCGTAAAATCATTGAGATATGAATTAATAGGATATGATCGATATGGCACAAAGTCCTTTTTAAGCTAAGGTGGATTCAAATTTGTCCCCTTAGACAAATATCCACCCATGGTCTACAAGGTACCCTTGGACGAAGCAAACCATGGCTGCCGACAAGGATCCTTCTGTCAGGTTGGGTCGACTACCTCCTCTGACTAAGTAGACCAGGGACCACGATAGCCCGGGACGAAGGAACCATGGGATCTTGACCGGGTCCATCATCCATTCAAAAAAAAAATCGAGTGGAGGCCCGGGTCGAATTTTCGGAGCCCACAAACAACTTATATCAATGGGTATGCATATGGAGGACAAAGAGTGTGAAATGATCCAATCATAATTTAGGGAAATCCTAAGTGAAACTAGTTGTTTCAAAAACCTATTATGTTCCATGGGATTCTAACAAGCCTTTGACAACTCTCCCCCTAGCACAATAATGGGATTCTTCATGCATAAAGAAGGATATAAAAAATATAAGCATTTTAAATACAAATATATATTATTAATATGATAAGATTTTATTATAAAGCATTGTGAATTATTACAATTATTATTTATAGGTTAAAAAAAAAATTTAAGGTGATAATGTGAGTATGTAGATAATCTATAAGCTTATAAAGTGTATTGCTCTCACATTAAATCGTTATGATTTAATAATCTCCATATTGTTATTTTCATGAAATTTAATCTCCAAATTGTTATTTTCATGAAATTTTACATGACTTTTATCTTGATAAAGTGATTTGAATCCATCTTGATATGTTTATTAGTCCACCATTGTTCATCGTGTTGTAATACTAGACATAAATATTAGTGAGCTTGACAAACCTGTGAGCTCATGGGATCAACAATTTACTCAACTTACAAAGCCTTCTCAACTAGAGCATTTGCAATGGTAGCATTAACTTAAAATATTTTATTTGTAAATGGTTAGAAATACTTAGCCAAAGATCTCTTATTATACAAACAAGCATCCAAGAAAGCATTCAACCTCCTCATGTTGTTTCTCATATCAACACTGATTTCTTTGAACCTAGTTCCTACAGCAAAATAACGTCAAGAGTTAGTGATTTCTGTAGAGATGGATTTCTTCAGCTTTCGATTCTCCCTTTCCAACTTGTCCTTTTAATTCACTAACATAGCTAGAGAACTTGATGTTAACTAGATCTCATCCATCATAGGAATATTGGTAGCCTCACAAACAGACTTATTATGCCTCAAGTTAGTACCTATTTTCTTTTACAATTCTGCAAAGACGGAAAACTTTTCCTTAACCTACTCAATGTCGTTTCTCTACCCCCGCCTTCCTAAATCAATATATAACATGGTTGTGATGCTTTGCTTCTTTGTATGCCTTGAAATATGTGCTCAATAGGAAGTAAGCATGCTATCATTTGATGGTCTTCTTTTGCTTTATGGCATGATTAAGAATCTCCCAATGAATTTTCTCCATCAAATCTCAAATTGGCCCTCAAACCCAAGCTTCATTGTATTGTTGATAGAGGCTGAGTATGACCCTTTCTCCAATGCTACAAATGGGAAGTAATGGTTATCTGAACTCCTAATATTAAATGGGAATGACCAAGCCAATTTTCTGTCGAAACTTTGATATGTCATCATTAATGCACTAGTTAGATCATTGCCTATAGTATTCAATTTTTTTAATCAAGACATCACTGATGGAAGATGCCACGGACCATCAGTTTGAACTACTATCAACTGCTCGAGTTCACAGGAATCAGCTTGGTCAACTCAAAGATAATAGTATCTAACCATAATTTAATCTTCACTGTCCATTAAAGATAACTATAAATAATATTTCATACAAGATAGAAATACCACTAGTGATGTCCATAAAAAAAAAATTCCTAGATCATTACATTAGAAAGGGTAAGTTCAAAAGATAATGTTGAATACTCTAAACTCTACAACCACCACAGCTATCGACAAACATCTCACCTCTGCTCGATAAGACCCATCAAATGAAGCTTAAAAAACAAATGTAAAAAAAAAAAATCATGCAGAATAAATTTACTTAGACTTTATGTGGTTGGAACAATTATATATATATATATATATATAATAGTTTTTTCCTAATTGTAAGAAACATCTTTTTCTACTTATGGCTAAGCAAATTTTTTAGAATAATTAACGGCATTAATGGGATAAATTGTGCCACATTTTGAAAAGCTCAAATCAATAACCGTTAAAAAATATTCAAACTACAAATTATTATGGCTTCATTCATTTCATTTCCTTGGTTTTCCTTCAATCCAAGAATAGTGTAAATTTAAGGAAATGCACTTCATATGTTTTTGGGTTAAACATAATTTCCAGCACAAGTAATTGACGCATATTCATCTAAGATATGCATGCACGTAAAGGCCTTGATCTATGTGAAGAGTTATCATAGTTTTATAATGGACATCATTGCTCTTGGAGCTAAGTTTAAACTTGAGAAAATGGAGCAGGAAGGCTGCGAATATCTTCATCTGTGTATATGCGAAGTCCTTTCCTAAGCATATACGAGGTCCAGCCTGCATCACGATGTAAATTAAGAGCAATAAGACATAGATTGAACTAATAGTTTGAAAGGTAAGAGTCCAATACAAATTAAAATTTGAATTAAGCTTCAACCAACATATTGTTAAACTGATATAAAGTAAATTCAAAATCTTTGTACTAAATAAAAGATGTAAAACATTATATTTCCTACTTTATTTAATTTACACGTATTTTTTAGTAAAGCAATCAATTAGTTCTTACTTTTTTTTTTTTTTTGCCTCCTACTTACAACAAATTGAGTAAAACAAGGAAACACGTTCATTAAAAAAAACTTAAATTGATCAACGTTTGACAGCCAGTTAATTTCTTTACTTTTTACCTGGAATGCTGTAAACTTAAAAGGACTTTCATTTCGGACTGACCCATCATCATTCAGCCATCTCTTTGGTTGAAATTTTTCAGCATCATCGCCCCATAGTATTTCCATTCTACCCATGGGATATGGCAGGTAGAACACAACGTCGCCCTTGTTAACATTGAACCCATCAGGTAAAGTGTCATCAGAGAAGCAGCTCTTCACATTCTACATGCATACAATGCAACGCAAAGCATCTTATTATATAATAAGTTTGTTAAGATAAAAAGAAAATTTTCATAGAAGTAAGTTCATTAATATTGCCTAAGATTAAAGTGCAATTAAGCAAGATTAAGGTTGGCCTGCTTAAGCTTTCAGGACCAAAAATACTTCTCAAAAACTAAATTACATTTGTACCGATATCTAAAACTAAGGCTTCGTTTGGGACGACTTTCTTTCTGCTTCTTAAAGCAGCTTTCTAGTACAAATATAAAAATATTTGTACTAGAAAGTTGCTTTAAGAAGCAGAAAGAAAGCCGTCTCAAACAAAGCATAAATCTTTCTAAATAAAAAGAAAATTTTCATAGAAGTAAGTTCATTAATATTGCCTAAGATTAAAGTGCAATTAAGCAAGATTAAGGTTGGCGAGCTTAAGCTTTCAGGACCAAAAATACTTCTCAAAAACTAAATTACATTTGTACCGATATCTAAAACTAAGGCTTCGTTTGGGACGACTTTCTTTCTGCTTCTTAAAGCAGCTTTCTAGTACAAATATAAAAATATTTGTACTAGAAAGTTGCTTTAAGAAGCAGAAAGAAAGCCGTCTCAAACAAAGCATAAATCTTTCTAACTCATTTATGATTAAAATTTACGAATAATAATTAAATATGAGGTTGTTTGGAAATTAATTTATACTATATAATGTTATGCTATTACTAAATGCAGTGATTTGGTTTAATGATATCATTTAATTAAACATATAGATTTTATTTAATTCATATTTTCATGACATCTTGACATCAGGAAAATCTGCTAACATCAAAATGTCAAGCTATTTGATGATTAAAACAAATAATAAAACAAGAGAGATCTTAACCAATTAATGTTGATCATTTTAGATAGCTTAACTATTAGAGCATAAAGACAAACAAGAACTTATCTTGTCTCTCATGCACATGTGTAATAAGGCTACTCGTACACGTCTATGTAACTGTTAGCAAAATGTCTATATATAGCTTGTAGTCTAAGGTGAATGGTGAATAAGATATTCCTTCTCTGTTTCTACATGGTTCTCCTGTCTTCTCCATCTTGTTCTTGTCTTCTTCCTCATACCTTTGTTAAGATCATCTGTCTCTACATGGTATCAAATCAAGATTGAAGAAGCGATCTCCAATGACCAACTCGTCTTCTTCTCAACTTGGCGAGCACTTAGATTCAGCTGCTCCCGACGACCCATCCATTATGTCATCGCTGAAGTTTGTTCTTCAGGTGCTATGAGAAGTATACGCCAGGGCATCGGTGCAATGACCGAACTCTTCAAGTTTTCATTGTCCGTGATAACGAGGAAACTAAGGAAGGTGAGGATTCAGAGGAGGAGATGCATGGATGATAAGTTGCATTTGGATCTGGCCGAGGTTTTCCTGAATTCAGTAATAAGGTTCACTTCGAATCATGCGATGAAGGTGAAGGGGGAAATAACATGTATGGAGGTGGTTGTATTGATTGACAATGAGGCTACCCATAATTTCATTTCCACTCAGGTCGTCAACCATTTAGGAGTGAAATTGGTGGACACCGGTTATTATGGGGTGATGATGAGTACAAAGAAGGTGGAGAGAGGTCAAGGGATTTGTAGAGTGGTGTTGACCATCCACGGGATTCAGGTAAGGGAGGATTTTCTCCCACTAGAGTTAGGAAGTACTAATGTCATCCTGGGGATGAAGTGGTTGCAAACCTTGAGGGAAACCAAGGACAATTGGGGAGCACTCATGATGAAATTAATGGTGGATGGGAGAAAGATGGTTATAAGGGGAGATGTAGGGCTATCCAAAGCCATGGTATCACTTAAGACTATGGTTAGGAGCCTACAAGAGATGGGGGAAGATTATCTGGTGGGACTACACAAGTTGGATATGATCAAGATGGAGGAGGGAGGGGATGTTTCTCTTTCAGTACAGCCCTTGATTCAGCAATTTGGTAAGAATTTTCAGCCACATCAAGGATGGCCACCTCCACAGAAACACGAGTATATTTCCACCTTGAGGATAAGGTGGATCTTTGGGAGGGGAGTATTGTTAGACCGGTCCAGGTGGGACCGGCTTGCAGGCGAAACAACGCCGTTGTTCGCCTCCTGCGGAGACCGTGCGAGCCGCAAGCTTTGCGGGAGCCAAATAGGAAAGTTTTTTAGGGGAATTAAGAGGGAAATTTGAATGTATGGATTGTTTAGGGATTTCCTTTTAATTTGTATGCATTAAATAGTTTGTTTTCCTACGGTTATGGTATCTTGAATTTGGCTGAAATTTGAGATCTCTTTGATTTCTTTTGAGCTCTAGCGGCGTCTAGAAATTGAGAGAGAACGATCATCCTCTCGAATAGAGGATCAATTGTATCTTGCTATTTTCTCGTTTCTATTTCATCAAATAATATAAATTTATATTGTTTTTCTGGTTGTGTGTGGATTTTGGTGGAGAATTCTCGCTGTTTTCTGAAGATTGATAGGAAATACTTGAGATCCACAAGTGTTTCCTATCATATTCTAAGGTGAATGGTGAATAAGATATTCCTTTTCTGTTTCTACATGGTTATCTTGTCTTCTCCACCTTGTTCTTGTCTTCTTCCTCATACCTTTGTCAAGATCATCTGTCTCTACATTAACATTATTTAAGAAAAAGTTGAATCAAAACATTACATTTGATATGAATAACTTTGCTTCTGAATAACCATATTACCTAACTACTATTGTACATCTAAAAAATTTATAAATCAAATATATAGTCCCTATAACTAGCAACATGTTAACATAAAAATATAGAAGTTACGATATTTAACAATTAATTCATAAATTTTAGAAACCTGCATAAAATATAAAAATTCCTTGACATATTTTTAGCGAATTATTTTGATCATGAAGAAGCTTACCATTGGTATTGATGGGTATAACCTTAGGGTTTCGGATAATGCAGCATGAAGGTACCTCATTTTCTCAAGAGACTCTTCAGTTATATTCTCAGCGAATTCACTAATACTAATATCTTGTCCTGCTTGGGTAGCTTCTTTCACTTCTTGAAAAATTTCTTCTTGCACGGCGGGATGTTTACACAACAAATATATGAACCAAGATAGTGTTCCAGCTGTGGTGTCTTTGCCAGCTATAACAAAGTTGAGAGCAATATCTCTCAAATATTCGTAAGTTATATTTTTTGGATCATGCTCCATTTCACTCATAAATCGTGAGATGATGTCTTCTTTCTTTTCCTACATGATAATGGAATAGATCTAAATCAAATAAGCACTAGAATAAAAAAGGGTGGTAAGAAAAGCAAACCTTGGTCGGTAAGTTAGACGTTGGGCTATGTCAAATATTATGTATAAGAATATTTGTTCTATGTAAATAATATAAATGAAAAATATACCAAATTCCTTTTAGCATTAGTCATATTCTCTTTTTTTGCACGAATCAAGTTGTATATGAAGTCATTAATAATGTTGATGTCCTTCTTGAGCTGCGCCTCATAGCCAATGTTGAAAAACCTTTTAAATTTCCATAAAACATCAACATACCGACTTAGGATGTAAACACTTGCGTTATCGAAAGCTTTTGTGAATTTAATCCCATCCACATACCCATCCAAGTTCATTAGGTCAACACCAAACCCAATTTTGAAGATTGAGTCCATTGTTGAATTCATAAACAGTTCCTGCATTATCATTAAAATAATTTTATCTTACCAATTAAAAACCAAAGAAGAAGTTTTCGAATGATTTTGTAAATTTCTAAATAAAAAAAACACATTGTATAATTCTAAAAATTGATTAACCTGAATATCGAAGGCCAAATCAGATTTTGCTTTATCAAAAATGATATTGGCCAGTTTTGTTGCATTTATTTTAAAAACACTGGTACTATAGTTCCTCAAAGCTCTTGTTGAGAACTCGTATCTCGCCAATTTCCTCTGATGAAGCCATTTTTCACCATCCACTGCGAAGATTCCATCTCCAAATAATTCCTTCAAATTTTCATAGTTGTATTGTCCCTGAAATTTGACAAAATATATTATTTAAGAAGGCAAAGTTGTGGAGAAATACAACAAAATTCATACATAGAATTTAGCAGGGCATTTGTTATGAACAAACCTCACATGCTTGACAGATGCTTTAAATGAACGAATGGAGGTAAATGGCATCTTATTCAATTTTATTTATTTATTTTATCAAATTTATACATCAGGTGGTGTGAAATTCATTTTCAATTTACTTTTTTATATTTTCATCAGTTATAAGTGGTGATTTAATTATAATAAGTATAATTTGTTTGGATAGAAGGAAGTAAACTATGCAACGAAATAAATAAAAAAGTAAAATAATATAATTTCTTAAAAGTCAAATAATAATTTTCTTACAATTTGCTATAAAAAATTTTATAACATTTAAACAAATTATAATCAAACAAAATTAAACACAAAAAATTTATCTCAAACAGACACCTAGAAAATCAAAAGTACAAGAGCTCGTGTTACTTACTTGGGCTTTATTTGGGATGGCTTTTTGTTGTTTCTTAATGCAGCTTTCTAGTATAAAAATTAAAGCACTATGAAGCAACAATAATGTCTTCCCAAACAAAGCCTTAATCTACAGTCATATTTAATGCAATTTTTAAAAAAAGTACAAGCGCATATGCTACTTATCCAATCCACCATCATATTTAATGCAATTTACAAGAAAAAAAAAAAGTAAGGAATGTAGCAATGAATTTTTTTTTAATATATTTAGGTCAATTAACATAAATTTATACACACATAACATATACATGATGTCGAACTTAAAACCCTTTAGTTGATAGTCAAAACTCTCAACTAAATAAACTGTGTCACAACTTAAGTACAGTTTCAATATATATATAATAAATTAAGAAAACTCACACACATCACATACGCAAGACTCAAATCTACGACCATTTGGTTAGTAGTCAAAGCATCCAACCAATAGACTAAGGCTTTCTTTGGGACAACTTTTTTATGCTTTCTAAAACGGCTTTTTAGTACAAAATTTTCTAATTCCCAAAATTTTTGTACTAAAAAATTATTTTAAAAAGCATCAAAAAGCTATCTCAAATGAAGCCTAATTTGAGTTCAGTACTAAATTAAAATTCAAAATTAATAACAAAATCATATGATATGCATTCTAAAAAAAACATAAAATAATTTTCCAAAAAAATGACATATTTGATACATAAATATAAGATAAGCAGATAAACAAATAGAACACAAGGCTTTTTCTTCCGAAAAAAAAAAACCTGGTTTCCGATTGCTTTTTATTCCATTCTGGCTTTCAAATGTTTTGTAAAGGGAACACTCATTCCCATCAATGCAAACTAAGCTCTTTTAACTATTAAATCATAAAAAACTGAAGAAACATATGAATTGATCGGTAAATCACCTTGCCGTAGTTTTTGAAGTTGGTTTTTAATATATACTCCACGATTGCAGGGTCTGTGGTGTAGATCAGATTACGAAAAGGAGCATACAATCTAAAAGTTTTGTATTTGCGAGAGATATCTGTGAGGTAATCCTGCAATCTTCTAAAGTTTAGAAACTTATGAAAAATAGTTCCAGCAATCGGATGATACCTCTTCTTTGCTTTCCTCCACCAAAATCCATGTCTTCGGAAGATTTTGATGGCAACCAAAACCAGCACAAGTATTATTACTGGTTGTAGGTATTTAGCCATGACAGCCATCTCTTGAGTTTCTTAATTTGATATTGAAAAGAAAAAGAAGTTGTGCTGCTTGATTTATAAGGCAATATGAAAACGTGATTTATTAAATCAGCAGCATGTGCCATTTATTTGTAACCGTTAAAGTATTCTCAGCTTCTACTATATAATTAACTGATTTATTTATAACCGTTGGATGCTTGATCTGCTTTGGATGCTCTTTTTAGCTTTCATGAAAAATACATTCCCTCCTTACATATTCTTGTTATTATCCAACTCATATTTTGTATTCTCTTATGTTGATAAGTTATGAGCGGCCTACGACAATGACCGCCATTTATTCATGAGAAAGTTGTTGATGGATCCCTAAGTGCCTCACGATTCTCCACTTATATTTAATTCTCGCCATGCTCACAAAATATTTTATCAACCTTCAAGCCAATCTTCTTTGATTTATAATCATTGTCTTCGACAAAACCCATATTTATGGGAGCATTTTAATGAAGCCTTTGATAAGGATTCATGAAAATAATTTTAACATAGATATTGTTTAGCATATCCTCATGTTATCAACTTGGTACAATTTATTGGTGATAGATTTTATTATTCTTCTTTCTTGTAATTATACATATAACAGGTGTTTCACGGGTTGCTATCAGGTCTTGTCGAGAATACTTGCCCTCAAAAAGGTTTTATTTGGGGAACTCGTCTAGGATCTAAAGAGGGACTTACTCGATGAAATTGACGGACTCAACTTGCCTAAGCCTACTATGGAGCTCACCCAACATGAGACGAATTAGGGATCCCTTGTCAAACCGTCGCTCACTACTACCTCTCTCACTAGCTTTCCACCAAAACATCCAAACTCACCCAACTTAGTCGTCATAGAAAAATGCCAACTCATAAGATATATTGTTAGACTACAACTCCACAATCATATAGCCTAAATCTCTTTTATTCCTGCAACATCTCACTTGGCTTTTTCCTCAAGAGGCAACATGAGATCTTCTACACGATTCATCAGTCACATCCAACCAATCACCAAGCCTCACTCATAAACACACCTAGAGCCTAATCATCACCGCCGAGCTCCCTTGCTGACTTCATCCTCCTCCAGCCTATCAAGTGGTGACAGTGTTAGATTAACGTGTAGCGTTATTAGAGTATTATGTATAGCTTTTTTTTTTTTTTCTATATAGCTTTTTTGGTAATCTATCCTTAAAACCCTATAAATAAATGGTGATAATGAATAGTTTGGTGCATCTCATACCTTAAGACTCTTGGACAAAGGTTCTTCTCTAATAGTGAATACTATGCCACTGCAAATTTGAGATTTTTAGTGTTCTTATCTATTATTTCTGCTCTATACACTTTATTCTTGCTCATATGTTCTAGCTCAACAGGTTGACCTGTTAGTAAGATCTGATTTCATCCACGGACAAATTCAAATCCAACATATTTATCTCATACATTATACATTATGCAATGTGTTGTTTTCATCTTCCACCAAATATTGGTTCTTAGCTTTCCTATTATTAAAAATTATAAAGATACTCTACATGAAAATTTGATATCTCCATATATATTAAAATGGTTAATATTAAATTAGGTGATACTTATCATAATAAATAACTGGGTGATATCTGACATAATTTGATATTAAATTAAAATATATTTAAAAGCCATGCATTACCTCATTTCATTGCTTTTAAGTTTGGATAATTTATTTTTTTATGAAAAAATAAACCATGTTTTTAAACAAATGTGGATAAAAAAACAAGAATGGTAAAAAATCGATAAAAATATGAAAATAAGATGGAATTAATAAAAAAATCAATAAGAAAATGAGGATTAAAAAAACAACAAGGGTAAAAAAGCAATAAAAATCTTATGAAAATAAGACTGAATTAATTTTTTAAAAAAAAGGAAGAAAAGGACCACAAAATGAGACCAAATAATGGCCATATAGATTTTTGTATTCTTTGTGAAGGAATCTAAAAAAATAAGATGCTCTTTAATCTTGGCCAAGGCTGGTCAAAAGAGTTCATGAAGAAATTAAGTTATAGCACCAATTTCTTTATTAGCATTATTGTCATTTTAGGTTTCGTTAAAAAGCAACTTTCTAGTTAAAAATTTTCATGTTCAATAAATTTTTATATTAAAAAGTTACTTTATAAAACAATAAGAAAGCTATCTTAATTTATAATCAGGCTTATATTTTATAATATGACATTTTTTTTAATGTTTTTCATAAACTTTATTCTTAGCTCTTATTGATTTGGCTCGTATGTTTTTTCATAGGCTTCGTTTAAGGAACTTTTATTTCGCTCGGTGTAAGGATGTAGAGGAGCGTTCGGTTTTAGGCAAAAATGCGCCTATACCGAGGTGTACCGAGTTTTTTCTGAAAAAACTCGGTACACCTCGGTATAGGCACATTTTTGCCTAAAACCGAACGCTCCTCTACATTCGGTCGGAGGATGTAATAATTGTTCTCGTTTAAGGCAGTTTTTTGTCACTAATTTTTTGCTTTAAAAAAAATTAGACTTAAAAAAATTACTCTAAAAAATAAAATGAAAACTATAATAAAATTAAAGAAATGCTTATTCCTGCGCTGAATACTTTTTGTAATGATGATAATGCGCTTATTTGGCTCCTTTAACGTTATTCATCTATTCCACCAAGTACCTTAGACATTAGATCAAATCCAATCGGACTTAGCTAAGTTGTGTTATTGTATCAACTTTTTATTAATTTATATATATTTAAAAAACTATATATATTATTAGGTGTATATGTATATTAAAAATATCAAATGAATAGCTAGCTATATAAATTGTTTCTTATTTATATTTAAAGTTCACCAACACGTAATAAATTATGCTATATTATTCATTAAAATCTATAAATTCAGTTATGTCTAGTAATTATGTTTAAATTAAATTATTTATATTTAATTAAAGCTCGACTTTAATTTGAACTCAATAAGAAAACTAATCAGATAAGTTTGATCAATAAATAAATAAATAAAATAACTTGAATAATGTAATATTTGAATCGATTTGATTCATTTAAAACCCTATCGGCATCTTCTATTGGACATTCTCTCGTGTGTTTCTTCCGATCAATTATGTTGAATATTTTTATCTATCTTAGATGGAATCCGTGACCATATCAGTTTGTTATAAACAGAATATAGATTAAAATAGAATATAATGTATTTAAAATATTTAAAGTTATTTGGATAACTATAAAATAAATGCACGACGGTACTTTATTTCGTTTGTCTTGAAATAAAATGAATGCAATGTAAAGCTCAATAAAAATAGTGATTGAATGCCAACAGAAAGCCACGGGAGTTTGTGGTGGGCGGCAACGATGATCATCAATGATAACAGCTATCGATGTGAAGCGATGCAGTCAATGACATTGTCAAAGCATTTACATTGTATTGGTAATCGTTCGAATCTAATAATTATCTAATAAATCAAAATGACAGATAGTGCATTTCAAATACACTAAAATTGTAATCTGTATTTCTTTTACTTCAAATCAAACACCATTATTTTTAAAATCCCTGCATTTGAAATACTTTCTCTCTATTTATTTGTTTTGCTTTCTAATTATACACAGTATCAAACTCTAATTTAACTATTTTAAATATTTTTTTATTAATGATCTTGATAGAGTTGACCATTAATAATTAATAAATACATAAATAAGCACGAGAACTCTATTGGTGCTGGGATAAGTTTATTTACTATATCAATTTGAGCTATATTATCTTAATCCCTGCATTTGAAAACGAACCATTATTATTTTTCATGTGTCCAAAAAAATGTCAGTGGCTTATATGGATTAATAAATAGCTTTAAAAGAAAGAATTATACAAATTAGAGCATGATTTCTCGTTAGCTAAATTGCTGCTCTATTAAACCACTAAAACAATCTGTTTTAAGCCCCTTTAGACTTTCAATTTTAGCTTTAGTATGGAAGTGGAGAGAGGAGTTAGATATACATAGTATTGATTTAGTTAGGTGCGTTGTCATGAGTGCGCGGCTGCAGCACTTTCATTGCGCAAAAAATGAGGAAAAGCAAAACCCTTCACAATTAAATCATTAGCAATGAAAAAATAATTAAATAATTGGATGGTGATTTAATATTAGATATTAAATAATTAGTTAATTATGAAAGTTTTAATAAAATCATATTTAAATAATTAAATATTCTAAATAATAATTAATCATATAGCATGTAACTCTACATTCAAATATCTTTTCATCATTTTTTTCCGCAATGGAAAGTCATTCAATTCCTTACTCTCCCTTTTAATATCTTATGATAAACTTTGTATTCTCTTGCAAGTAATAATTCGAACCGTCTAAATGTCCTCATTTATTACTACGCACGATTTACATTTTTAAAAATAATCCTTGCTGACCCTTGTTCATGAGTACTGTTGCTTAGCTTGGTTAGTGAGCGAGTACGGTTGGGAACCCTCCAATCTATGCTCAATCTTTCTCGAGTGGCAGCGCCTCTTAATTGGAGCCCAATCAAGAGACTTACCACGTGTCAGAAATTATTGATAATTTTCTTATCAAACTCAAAAGACTTACCACTACACACTAAATCCATGGAAAAAAGACTAACACCTTTACCCGAAACCACTAAACCATGCATAATTGTATTCCAAGTTATCTTGGCGAGTAAGAACACGCTTATTTATTATATCTTTCCAACACAACTAAGCGAGCTCCCTATATATTGATCTAGTATTCATTCTAAATGGTCTTGAGTTTTTTACTTAGACTAGAGGAGGCATGCAAGTTTCTCTAGTGCTATTGTACAAAGGGAAACTATTTTTATTACCCCACTCATAACCATCATACCATAGTGACAGCACCTAATTGCTTTTCTATAGTTGCCCTCTACTTTATAAAAAGTTCAAAATATTGTTTCAAGTAAGGTGGACTACATTAACTCGTGTATGTTAAAACTTAAAAGATAATACTCCCTCTACTGAAATCCTAATTTTTTTTATGTATTGCACTCATCTTGAATTGAATCTGAAGGCTTTAAGGCACATTTTAGTCATTTTTTCATTAGAACATCCTGACGCAAATTTTTCCGCAAGGGTTCTGTTGAGCTGATGCATTGCAGGCTACAAATGTGACACCAGACAGTGGCTAAACATCTAAATTTTGTTGGCCTCACTGGAATCTATAAGTAGTCACTCTTGTTAGAGTAATTATTACGTCCGGTCAAATCCGAACGTATTTGAATGTATACCGAGTAATACCGAGTTTCAAGTGACGTGGCGCGTGATTATTGTTCTATAAGCGCGTTTGGTGACCAGACGTAATAATTGCTCCTCTTGTTAGGACTCAGGAATCACTTTTTTGCGGCATAACTTCAGCTTTTGAGTCCTTGGAGCAAAGTTAGGCTTCATTTGAGACGATTTTTTTATTGCTTTGTAAATCATCTTTCTAATACAAAAATTTTAATTTAATATTTGTATTAAAAAATTATTTTAAAAAGCAGTAAGAAAATCATCTCAAATAAAGCCTTAGAGCCTCTCGTGCATAAACAGCTACTTTGCTAG